AGTCCGTGGCATGGTAGGCAGGAAACAGAAGGAGATCCAAGGGGGAAGGAGGGAGACAGACCCTTCCAGGCCGTGCCCTCAGTGATCCACTTCGTCCAATCAGATACCACCTCCCAACATCACATTTAGCTATAAAACCCATCAGTGGACTAATCTCACCTATGAGTGCATTGAGCTTTAGGGGTACATATAGATACAAACCATAACAGATGGCTGGGACAGGAGAATCACAAGTTTGACCCTAATTTAAGCAGTTTAGAAAACTCTGTCTCAAAATAAAATATGAAAAGGGCTGGGAATGTAGCTCAGTGGTAGAGCACTTGCCTATCATGTCTGAGGCCTTGGAATCAATGCCAGTTATCCCCTCCCCATTCAAAAAAGAAAGATGCTTTGATGGAGCTATTAATTTGAATGGAGAAGGATTCATTAAGGAAGAAATGCAGTAACAGATTGGATGCAGAAAGAATCTTATATTTGGGGAGCAGAAACAAGACCAGTTTTCCTGAAGGCAATTCATCCAGCTTAGAAGAATTTGATCAGGCAGAATTTCTGTTTGACCTTTGAATGTCAAACTGCATACTTTGTACTTAATTTGGTATTCATTGACAAGTTTTTGTTAGGGAATTTAGGTCATCAATGCTATGTTTTAGAAGCATGAATATGACAAATACATAGAATTAATCCAAGATTAGAGGTCACCGTTCAGAGCATCCTTTACTGCTCCAACCTGCTCAAAGTGCACTGTATTACCAGCACTAACTCACTGAATTTCTGTTGCTTTTTGTTCAAAAGTTGGCAGCATTGACATTGTGGGGGAGCTAATTTTTTTTATAGTAAGGGGCTGTCCTGTATGTTGCCAGTGGCTTCCACCCACTAGAAACCTGTCCTAGCTCCCTCCCCTCCAGTTATACTAAGCTTGTCTCTAGATGTTGCCAGATGTCTGAAGAGTCTAAATTCACCCTCACTTCAGAGCAACTTTCTTAGAAGAGTTTATATAGCTTATCTGCTACCTTATATTTTAAACACATTACAGTAGACAGAATGGCCTCTATGTGTTACGCAGTCCGTGCACCAGGTGGAAGCTTTCCACAGAATTGGTGTTGCTGGCTTCTCTGCAAAGTTTGGGGCTGCAGGGGGAGTGAAGAACAGCTGTTGCCTGGGCATTCAGTAGCCCCCTTAGTGCACTACTCTCACTGTCATTCTTGATTGTCCTTCATTGGCCCCTGTCACTCTTACACAATATTTGATTGGCCCCTGGAAACTAACCCCAGGTCCTGGTTATAAAAACACAGACTTATCAGTTCATTCAAAAGGATTCCTTGAGTTGCAGCTATCCATTAAAGATATCACAGTAATGGCACCCAATTTCCATGCTTGTGTAACTTTCACCCTAGTAGAATATCATATGGATGTATTTTATATTTCTGTAGGTTTTGAGATGTAGCCTTAGTATAAGATTATCACTGAAACAAGTGATACTGAGAGTATATCTTTCTAAGTAACGGGAAAAAGAAAACTGTTGTTAGCTACATTCCAAGTGATGACACATAGGATTATTTCTCTAAACCAATTTGTTTTTCACCTGAGATTTCAAGTTTTTCTCCACTGGGCTCCATGAAGTATCCTCAGATGAAATTATTTCATACAACTCATCATTTTACATCCTGAAAACCTAACACACTGGCTAAAAATGGTAACTTCTATTACTGTTTTGTATAGTTTTAGGCAATATATGATCATAGCACTCATGGTGGTGATGTGATATGTAACACATTACAGAGTAGTTATCAGCTGGTGGCATTGTTACTTTCGTATTTGTTTCTCTCTTGATGAGAGATTTGAGGCTCCTCTCATTTGACATTTAAGTTTTCTTATTACTTGGAAAACCAAGCTGAAGCTGGATGAAGTACGAATGAGTGTCATTTTCTTCTTTTAGCTTTATGGTAATATGTTTTTTACTGTAATAATTTCTTTTTTTTTTTTTTGGTACTGGGGATCGAACTCGGGTCCTTGTGCTTGTGCAGCAGGCGGCGAAAACACTGAGCTAAATCCCCGGCCCTACTGTAATAATTTTTTAAGAAAGTACATAATCACTATATATTCCAGTCACACCTGATACTTCTAGTAGTGTATTTTCTCAATTTATATTTCTGATGGTGCTAGAGAGAAAAAAGTAGGTAACTATTTTGAAGCATTGTTAGGCACCTTTAGTAGTTTCTTGGATGGAAGAAATGCTTGTTGGTGGTTCTCTGAGTGAAATGACTTGCAGGTTGCTGTGACTATGCCCAGGAACTAGCCTTGGGTCATGTGCCACTGTCCTGCTAGATGGTAGAAGACCGCAGTCTGGGCCCAGGCTCAAGGTATTTCATGGAGTACCATTCATTCACCTGAAATTGTCTTGAGAAAGAATCCAGTTTTTGCAAACTTATTATTGACCACTACCATTCATTTGGCTAGTATACAATGTCAGGGGGAAAAATGAGAGAGCTCTGAGATAGTCTCAGGAAACAAAAATTCCTCTTTAAGGAACTCAGGAAAGTAGGCATGATTTTAAATAGTGTTTCATTGCTGTTATAAAATTGCAATCTTTTATTGGAGTCGCTATGTTGGTAAAGAATCAAACATTTGGATTTCATTATACTTGGGAGAGACAAACTCATATGTCTTAGGAAAGTATTGTCAAAGAGCTCTACTTTAAAAAAATTAAAATAATTTAAAATGAATTGTTCCCATGCAGCATTACTCAATATAAAATCTGAAGTATTCTCGTAAGAGAGATTTCTTCTTAATGGGACATCTGTGAAACAAAAGCAGACATTATAGAGTCTTGGACTCAAATTTGATAACAGTTCCTTTGAAAGCTTAGAAAGAATCAGGATTCCAAGTGGAGCTTGCTGGAAAAGGCCCCGGGGCCCTGCCCCTCACAGTCTGCCAATGAAGGCCGAGGGTGAAGCCCATGAGTGAGTGCACATTGGTAGCAAAGCCCACGGTAGTACATCACTGTGAAGGGAGACTGGCTGCTATGGGACCAGTAGTTTATTTCCCTTATGCTTTTGGTTGAGATTGGCCTTGGATATTTGAAAATAAACCTCTATCACTGAGGCTTTTAACACAGGGAGGAAGGAAGCCACTGCTCCTTCAACATAGAGTAAAACAATCATGCTGGTCTGCGATATATACTAAATTTTGCATTATATATTTCTGAAGCATAGCAAGAATTTTGATTTGAATTAGAAAATATATCAAAGATGAAAGTCAAAATCATATGTGAAATAATCATAAGGTTAAGTATGAGAATCATATGCTTTTATTTAGATGGCTGACATTTGACTTCTACTAAGCTATTATTTTTTACTAATTAAAACTTGCATAAAATATAATCTGGAGAGACAAATTTCCTTGCATATGAATGTAACATTTTAATTTTCATCATGAGGTCTATTGTATACACAGAGGCTCTCTCTCTCTATATATATATATCCCATGCAATATGCTGTATGAACTATATATGATATACAATAATAAACTATATTATATATGCACATAAATTATTTAGCAACAGTATTATTTACTATCACAATTTTTATGGGGAAGTAGAGCTTAATATTTTCTTTCTTCCAATTTTTATTTTTATTTGTTTTATTAGCCCATGTTTGCAGTATATAATGATCACATCTTTGTGGGGAATTGGTCCATGTGCATGACACATCTCAGTTTATTTTTCATCCCCTCCTCTTCCCTCCCCCACTCCCTCCCTCTCTTGATCCCATTCCCATTTGCAAACGATCTGTCTCCCTACTTCCTAGTATCTTTTTATCTTGTCCTTATTTATATTTTGGGTTTCTCATATAAGAGAATCCATGCAATATTTACACTTGTGGCATCTGATTTATTTTACTTAACATTGTGATCTCACGGTACATCCATTTCTTACAAATGACTCAAGTTTATCTTTCATTATAGCAGAGTAGTACTCCACTGTGTGTAAATACCACATTTTCTTAATCTAGCCATGTATTACTGGACATACAGCCCACTTCCAAGATTTAGTGGTTATGAATTGTGCTGTTATAAACATGGGTTTGCATGTATTGCTGTAATATAATGTCTTTAATTCTTTTGAGAAGATATCTAGTAGGGGAATAACTGGATGGAATGGTATTTCTGGTTTTAGTATTTTGAGGATTCTCTGTACTGATTTCCATACTGGTTGTACTAGTTCATGTTTTCACAATGTGGAAGTGTTGTTTTTTTTTCCCTGTAGCCTATCCAGCATTTATTATTATTTGATTTCTTGATGGTAACCATTCTTTCTGGAGTTAGATGGAATCTCAGTGTTGCTTTAATTTGCATTTCTCTGATGACCAGAGATGTTGAACATTTTTTCATGTATTTATTGGGCATTTGTCGTAGTTCTTCTGAAAAGTGTCTACTCTTTCAGCTAGTTGTCCATGTTTTGGTTGAGTGATATATGTTTAAATAAGCTTTATTTTCTGTTATGAAACTCGCCTATGAGAATTCAAATTCGGAGTTATTTAGTAGAGTAATTAAACTAGATAGATGTCAAGATGTAAGTTAATTATATGGGTATATTTAATACATTTTCTCATATTTATAGAGTATTGAAAGTGTAGCCCAATTTAAAAGCAAGTTGATACTACATTTTACAAGACAAAGTAAAAGCAATTTGATATTACATTTTTGGGAGACAAAATGAAAGCAATTAAAAACAAGTTGATATTACATTTTTTAGAAGAAATTTAATCTGAAGCAACAAACATTAAAAAGTATTTCTTAGACTTTAAGAAAAAGTATAAAAACTTTTATAGCATAGTTTTTACACAAAATATTCTACCTGATAGTGTATATCATTTCTTTTCCTATAACTTCCTTCCAGGCTGCATACGCTCCCTCTTTCAACACTGTTGAAATACATTTCTTTTTGTTCCTTGGCTTTGGCTTTTGCCCATGCCTTATTTATTTATGTTTCTCTCTTCCAGTGCCTGGAGCCCTGCAAGGAACCCGGGGACCTGAGAAAGCACCAGTGTCAAAGCTTCTGTGAGGTAAGAGAACATCACCTTAATTGTATCCCCTACATCTGGCAGGTGAGACGTCACCATCTGCCCACCTTGCACCGGGAAGTTTTCTGTGCATTGCGAAAATGTTCCTGCCCTTAGGGAGAAGCAACTCCCATTTCTGCAAGTGGGGTTTCTCAATAATTTCATGCCACTGATTCCTTTTGGGACTCCCTCTTCCTGGGTAGAATGCTTGCCCACTCTTACCTGTGTGGGGGGCATCTTATTTCACCCATCCTATCACTTAGAGAATAAAGGGAATGGAGTGTCCTGAAGGATCAATGTGTACAATCACCGGTAATGGGGAAGAGGGGAGGAGCTGTCTTCTGAGCTATCTCCTGTAGCTTAGTTTATCCTAAAATGTAGCCAGGAAGCTGGGAGACAGGTGGATTGCCTGGTTCCAAAAATAGTGGATCTGAGGGGAAATGAGAATCTGAATTTCTTTTTTTGGTACCAGGGATCAAACTCAGGTCCTTGTGCTTGCATGGAAGACAAGCAGCAGAACCACTGAGCTAAATCCCTGGCCCTATCTGAAGTTTCTTGAGGGCCAATAGAGAATGCAGTAGAAAGAGCTCAGTAGGGCCGTGAAGGATGCCCAGTTCAAAGTCTTGGAGGGCAAACCAGAAATGTGCCCCAGGGCATCAGAATGAAATTATGCTATGGAGCATCTCTGAAGGGATCCAGGGAGACATGGTGGTCCAGTCTTCCTCTGTAGCATGTACAAGTGTAATCCTGTTTGTATGTGGATTTTGTTTTGAGATAATTGCAGAATTGGCATCATACTCACTGCCTCGATATGTATTGTTAATTTGACCTTCAAATCCCCTGGGGGTTAAGCAAGGCAGATGTTAAATCTCCAAGATCTGTGCGTGGGGGAAGCCAGGAAAGCCCTGGCAAGGGGAGACTCAGAAAACGAGGTCACTGATATGATCCCACATGTGGCCAGTGCTCTGGTTAAAAGGGCTGGGGCCAACCCGCTGTCCTCTGGCATCCATCCATGGCCACCCAGTCCCTGGTGCGGGTGGCTCCACTTGCTCCATCACCAGGGGTCATGGTGTTGTAGACTTATTTTAGATAAGTGGAGTGAAAGTACTTCTCAGTTTCCCAAGTGATCACCCCTACTCTTCCATATCTCAGTTGTTTTTGCTCCGGATGATTCTTTCTCAGCATTTTGCATCTGGCTAGAATACTGATAATTGGAGGACTTTTATTCTGTGATGTTGGCAGAAGCACCTCTGTCCTAAGCATTCCTGTCAGGGAAGTCTTTGGAAACAGTTTTTTAATGTTGAGAGTGTAAAGGCCTTGAATAATTCATAGGGCTCCTTGTAGATATTCAGGGTTATTTAGCCAATTGCTCTGCAATTGACAGCCCTGGCTGAGCTAAAGACTTAGTGCTAAATCAAATAGGAAAATAACCCACGCTGTCTCTTTGAATGCTTTTCCATCTCTGTATATTTTCTTTTTTTATCTTGCAGGAAATGTCTGATTATTCTGTAGCAATAGGCTAAATGCTTGAAAACCTTGGAGGACTTTTCCTACATTAGGTAGGCCAGTCATTCATTGAGACAGACCTTATCCAACCCAGTCCATCTCATCCGAGGACAGTACGTGAAAACAGTGCAGTGTCACAAATCCGAGCTTTCACTGGGTAAAATTTCAGACCCCCAAAGGGACTGCAGATTTGACTCTTGAAACAACTAGACTGTTAAATATGTCTGGCCCAATGTGTTTATGTGTAAGATCATCCAATCTCATTTGACTTTTAAGGTGTGTGTTTGCAAATTATACTCCACAGGAGAAAACTGAACCACTGCTTGAATTTGCAAATAAAGCTTTATTGGCACACAGCAACACTAAATGTTGATTTAGATATGGCTGATGGTGGCGTTTGTGCTGGAGCAGCAGAGTTGAGTGGTTGTGACAAGTTATATGGGCCTGAAAGCTGAACATATTTGCTATCTCACCCTTTACAGGAAGTTTTCCATTCTGTGAAAAAGAATCATCATAATTACATTCATAAAGCCTACTTAGCCATTTAGAGTGTTATTCTCAGCATGCATTTCTAAACCTAAATAGTTCCTCATATATCATGATTTTGAAATGTGACAGATATGAAAGCAGGCAAATAGTTTCAGTTTTGTTGGCTTGGTTTATTAACTGGAAGTTAACTACCTTTCTCTAATCTTTTTTTTCTTTTTAGTTCTTTTATTGGTACATTTTAGGTATACAGTTCGTTTACATTTATCATTGGGTGCTTGTACCTGTACATGATGTATCTTGGTTCTCATTTTTTTCCCCAATACCTGTGCGCCCCTCACCCCCTCCGCCCTTCCCTATTTACATAGATTTCATTTCCATTTCTTTTTCTGTTCTCATAGTTTTTCCTTTCCCTCTTTTCCTTTCCCCTTCTCCTCCCTTCACTCCTTCGTCTTTGGACCTTTTTTTCCTATTTCAAATTATCAATTATTCATTTTAATCATTTTAACCCTTGTTTACACTATCAGTTTCTCACACTAGAGAAACTATTCGGTATTTACACATGTGTGTCCTATTTATTTCA